AGATGTTATAATAACTATAAAAGAAGAAATTATATTAAAATTAAATCAGTCGATAATGCGATACTTGTGGTCATTATAATACATGTTTGCGCGAATTTAGTTTGTTGTTTAATTGTGGCCAACATTAATTCTTTCATACAGAAATTGTCCATATATATACACACACTGTTATGGGTTCAACTTATATTGATATGTATAATACATACACATATAAATATATGTATGTACATTACATGTACTTTCACATAGGTATCAATCTCAACCAAGTGCACATATACTTTCCAAATACACACGTGCCCTTCTTACATAAATTTGCGTATATATCCCTTACATACAAAAATAATTGATTGAGAACTTTAAACTGGAAATTGATTTTTGCTTTGACGTAGATGAACGCGTTCTAGCACGTTTGCACAGACGCAAGTTTTATTAAATTTTCTACACATATTTGTGAAAGAGAGAAAGATTTACTTTTAATAAAATAAATATGTATGCGTATATACAGGGCCTTTCGATGCATATGTAAAACATCAACGTCGCATACGAGTCTTTCACTTCACTGTACGTATTAATGATTGACATAGAAAATCCGAATTCGTTGCCTCACGTAAGCGCCGAGGCGGCTTTATTTGGACGTGCATACATGTCCATCACGAGAGAGATACATCTTGTTCCGGTTTGCTCGTCTTTCCGTCGCGAAGCAAAAACCAAGGAAGTAAAATCCTTTTACCCACCTGCCGGGACCAAAGGAGGAAACGCGCGAGGACCTTGTCCGCGGTTGAGGAGCGGTTCGCCACTGGTGACACCCCCACTGGTGTGTGTGATAGTAACTTTTGAAACCACGGATATATCCAAGAGAATCAATAGCTGGCGTCGGCGCCTGCGACGCCTCTCTCTTTCGCCCGCGACTCTCTCGCGGAACAAGAAACCGCGCGCGAGCACTTCTCCGAGAGGAAGACACTAGGGGTAGGGAGAGAGAGCGAAGGACGGGTCAATTTATCGCCATCCTGGAAGTTAACGCGTAAATCGTGACATTATGCACTCAAAGTAAATATTAGGAATGCAGCGAATATCCGAGAAATATCCGATATTCAGTATTATCCTTTTTTACTATCTGGTCGGATAATCGGATATCAAGTATCCGGTAATATATATATCCGGCTGAAGTCTTATATTGAAAATTTGTGTCATTGATGCAAAATTTTTATTCTGTTTAACGCTAAATCCCATTTTTTTGAAAGTCATGTACCAGGTATTTGACCGGATATCCGAGGAAATATCCGGTTATACCCGGTCGGATAATTGCCCTATCAGATATCCTAATCAGAAAAAAATATGATACCGGGTATTCAATATTCGATAATATTTAATAATTTGGTACAATGTTACGTCCGGAGCGAGAGAAGTAGCTATTGAGAGAGCGCTGCCTGGCCGAGCGATGAAACAGGCGGGCGCTTTCAGAATTCTGACAAATTCATAAATACTAAAGAATTTTAGCAACTCGTGTTTATTAACATCCAAAAAAAAAGAGATAATCTGAGATAATGGCCTAGAAAGCTAGGAAGGGAGCTAAATAAATGGAAGAAACACATGAACACATATATCTTGTATTTTATTATAAAAAAAAAGAAAGATTTTTAAATTCGATGTTTCTATTTCGATGTTTCAATTAACAAATTGGGACAGATAATAAAGGGACGAAACATTAAGTCGAATTGGTGATTTAATTGTTAACCATTTCTATTTTTGAGCGGTTCATTCTACTGTTACGATTTTATTTCATTTTCCTAAATATTCATTCGAAATAAAAGATAAAAAGAAAAAAATTGTATATTTGTGTTGGAAACAGTTCTCACTCTCGTTTTTATTAACTTTCATTATTTAACAGTTATTATTTTAAAATTTGACGATAATTATTAACTAACGAGTTACAAAATGTTGCATAAGAGAGATTTATTGTTCAATGTAGAAGCGTCGACTGTGTGAGCTTGAATTCTCATTGCCACTCAGCTTTCTAACTTTATGAGTATGTGACTTACCTCACGATAGTTAACGGTTCAATTTTGAGAGGAAAAACGTTGGAGATATTATTTTGTTATGCAATACTCCAACCGTTGCGCTAGGGGGAAAGATTGCTGATGAAGACTCAAACCATGAGTGGAAACGTTCAAAGTCAAGGTTTATATTTTTAATATTAAGAAAAATTGTGATAACCAGCGTTGACTCCTATTGCCTGTACTATTGTATGTTATATGTTTTTTCTAAATTGTTTTTATTAACTTTCGTTTTGAATTTCCTTTTTCTTTTCCTTTACATATTCGAATGTTAATTTAGCATAATGTGACCGCATGTATTTACAGGTTTTGCGTGAAATTGATGTTCAAAGGTTCTTGCAATTAAAGATGATACTATTTATATAGGCGAACGAGAGTAACATAAAAACAATATATTTTAAACGTAACGAATGGATGAAATACGTGTTAATTTAGCACTTCGTGAATGTCAATTTTCTCGGGAGAGAAAGGAATAAAAAGGAGAAATATACTTTCAGTTTATTTATAAATTGTAGTGATAATATCCTTTTTCTTTTGTATATCTATTCTCTTACATAATATTTGTGTAACCTTTTGAAATATCCATCTTACTTTAAATTAATCCAAAACTTCGAATGGGCCGTTTGGAGCATGCGATTTATGTTAACTTATTGCAATTAGTATTTATATTATTTTGTAATCAAATGCTACGAGTCGTAACTAGATGACGAGTATTAAAAATCAATCTAATATTTAATGATTAAATTAGAAGTACATAAAGACATATAATAACATCACCATACGTTTCAACCCCTATCGGGTCATCCTCAGTGTACAATTTAATAAAACTAAACTAAACTTGTGATTTAATCGTCGACATCGATATAACAGTTTTGTCACATATTCCTATTCGAAATTTTTGCGATGTTAAGGGGTTATATCTGTTTGGAGCCCAAAAAAAAGGGTTTTTTCAAGATTTTTCTATGAGTACATTTTTAAATTATAATTCACAACCAATATACCGATCGATTAAGCAACTCTTCAGGAGTAAGAAAAAATTTTATTATTGACAATTTTTCACAAATTGGTGGCTGTGGGACTGCATAAACAATACAAAATTTTTCGAAGGTCCTCCGTGGCGAGTAGTAGAAGTCCCCTGGATCACCATTTGGAAACATAAAAAAATTGTTTTCATGAACTACATGAGTTTAGCTAGTGAAGTACACACGATCATAATTTTAGAATTTTTTTCGCAAAATGGCGAGACTTAGAAAATAAATTCGCATTTTCGACGAAAAAAATCGACTTGAATTTTTTATTAAAAAAAATCCTCTTCATCAATTGTTAAAATCGTGTGTACTTCACTAGATAATCAAATGAAGAAGTTACAGTTAAATTTTCAAGTCGATCGGATGAAAACTCTTCGAGTTATACTGCTCGTCGATTTTGAAAACATGGTTTCGAGAAAAACGCGTTTGAAGTTTGAAAACGCTGTAACTTTTCGAAATCATAATAATATGGTCCCCCCTACTTGGGGGCGCACGACTTCCACGCAAAGCAACTACCACCCCACCTCCCTTCCCTGCTTGGAGGCGCACAACTTCGCGAAACGTGAAGGTAGGATGGTAGTCGCTTTGCATGGAAGTCGTGCGCCCCTAAGTAAGAAGGAGGTGAGGTGAAAGTCGCTTCGCGTGAAAGTCGTGCGCCCTCAAGCAGTGAGGTGAGAGTCGCTTCGCCTGAATAGTCGTAAAATATATTTTTAAGTAGGACATTTTTGTTCTACATAATAAAAAAAAAACATCTGTATATGTATACTGAAAAGACATTATTTTTCAAACTTTTCTTCTTAATAACTTTTTAACGAAGGACGAGCGACGGCTAAAACCTGTTGGAGTCACTCAGAGTCATGACCTTGACAACATATTCAAGGTCAAGGTTATTGGAGGATGCTCCCCTAATCTGAATTTTTACCTAAATTTCTCCCTTTTTGGTCTTTCTATGATTTTTTTTGTGAATATTAATGAGAAAATGTATTCTGCATGACTTCGTTTAAATGTAATATTAATTACTCGTTTTTCTAACAAAATCAAAAAAATTAAATTTAAAATTATTAAAGTTAATTTAAATTTTAAAGTTAAAAAATTTATTAATTGAACGTACAAAAAACATATTATTTCGTGAGGAAACACAAATTTGCTTACATTTATTCTGATCTTGTTATGTGTCGCGTCAAATCGACCAGTAGTATATTCGCTATAAGCATATGGCGAGAGTCTTTTCCTTTGAAGCGTTGTTCGATTGTAGGAATATTTTAATGGAAACGCTCGCCGTGCTCGTCACTAAAATCAATCAAGTCGTTGGGAAAGAAATTCAAATGATTGTGTAAAAAGTGGATTTTTAACGATATATTGACTCCTATTTTACGAAATGCAGTAATTGTTTCGACTACAACTTCTTTATAGTTTTCAGCTCTATTCTTACCCAAAAAATTGTAAAAATAATCACGTCTACAGCTTTCCATAATTCGTAAACGTACGCCTGTATTACATTTTATCTTTATTTTTGCGGACAATCGAAGTTTTTTATATGTAAAGAAAAAAATTATTTTTAGATACAATTTCGGAGCTATTTGAGCCTGGCTAGTTAGCTTACGCCAATTCGTATAATACAAATTCTTTTACAGAATGTAGTCTAATATGTCACTTCTTGAAGCTTTTTTATGATCCTGTTCCTTTCGATACCTTCAATACATTAAATCTTACTGTCTTACTCAAAGGTCTGCATTCTCTAATGCAAATTATTTTTGTTGCACACTGTTATCTTACATCAGTAATTATGGTTATACTATTCTTTATATATAAAAGAAAATATTTATTTAAAAAGCAGTTCTCATACAGAAGGAGAAAATAGTTATAATTTATCAATATATATAAAATATTTTCATTTTCGCATAATTTTATCCATTTGGACTTCCTTATTGCTTCATTGAATCCATGTATCTTTTCCTTTCTAATGAAAACTCTCCTTAACCAAAAATTGCGTAAAAGCGAGGATTTCTAAAAAAAAAATGTTTGTCAAATCTTCCTGTAATAATATTTGAATAACTAAACTTAAATATATGTATATTCCGCAATACACAATACAGTAGTAAGCCTTATAGCGAATTCGGTCACTTGCATTACGCTAGATCAGTGCATACTAAAAGCTGCTTTACATAAAATTAGCAAAGTTAAATGTAAAAATATATAAATATTTTAAACGATTAACTATTTACAAATGATCATTTATTGTTTGTCACATTATTTAACAAAATATATATGTATCATTTTATTGTCAAAGTTGATTATATTGTATATCACTGCATTGAGATATTTTATATAAAGCAGCTTTTAATATGTACTGGTCCAGTGTAGTGATCGAATTCATCATTAAGCCGTAGGCGTCGTCTACAATACACGAAGTAAGAAGTAAGAGTAAAAAATTGACCAATCACAGTCGAATGTGAGAAGAATAATCGACTGTGATTGGTCAATTTCTTACTCTTACTTCTTACTCCGTGTATTGTAGACGACGCCTTAAGAAATTGATCACTCACAGTCGAACTCACAAAAAAATAATCGATTATGATTGATCAATTCCTTAAGGCTTAAGGTGAATTCACATGCAAGCGTCAAGCAGCGGAAGCAGCAACCAATCAACGAGGCGATATTTACAGTGACGTAAAAAATATTTTTTATACCAATGCCCGTATCGCCCAGATAATTGTTGCTTCCGCTGCTTGATGCTTACATGTGAATACACCTTTAAGGCTTACTACTCTATTACCCCGAATCTACAATAAATTTTTAAACTTTAAGCCATAAGGAATGGACGAATCACAATCAATTATTCTCCTCGCATTCGATTGTAGTTGATCAATTTTTTACGGTTTAAGGCTTAAAACACCTATTGTAGATCCGGACTTATCGTTGCGGGGTAAGAGACACGTTCGAAGCTAATGTACTAGCAAATTCAACGTACTGCACTTTGAAATAGTGAACAAAGATGCGATTTTAACCATTACCGTATGTATATGTATTCGCACAAAAGTATCCGTAAGTGCAGCCACAAAAAAGGAATAAGGAATACAAACTTCAATCTATCAGAAATCGGATACACCGAAATACACAGTTTCTGATAAATTAAAATCGTTTTCCTTATTCCAGGCTTATAGTAGTCGGTGTCATTAGGTTTGTTCGCGTCGCATGCTCCAACATGTTCCAATGTGTTCCTGTTATAGCTTCTACTCACTTTAACGAGCGCGTTAAAATGAGTAAATGCTATAGTAGCATTTAAGAGCATGTCAGATGCGAACAAACCTATTGTGTCACGCAGACATTTGTATAGTAAAAAAGCTGAGAAATGAAGAAATAAATTACGCCTACTATTTGTGTACTTTCTTCCACGATCCTCTTCCACGAAAGAAGAAATCAGATTGCTGACAGTCTCCTCTATCTTGTAATCAATTGATTTCATACAATCGCTGATACGAAGATACCTGATGCATACAAAACATAATAAATTAATATTAAGATCTCATTTATCACAGCTGTTCTTAAAAAGATGAATACATGTTATGAAAGAATTGGTAACCCTCCGTAGCCCACTGCAGGAGCAGTTCAAGCGCTGGTCGATGAGATGTTCCCTTAATTAATTCTTGCATTAATTTGTCCTTTAAAGATATCTTGCTTCTAGCGTTTTCTAAATTAACCAAATAATTCTTCAAATCCTGAAATCACAGATTTAAATATCGTGTTCTTTATATTAACTTGCAGAATGAAGATCGTAGGAAAGACCGAGGACAAAAGTAACATTTTGACTTTGAAGTGTTATAATAATTAAAATATAATATTTACATTTAAAAAATATGTATCTTTAGATGTAGAATTTATTTAACTACAAAATTTTCTTTGGTTTAATTTTTTTATGTAACTAGAAAAAAGTTATGTTTGTTTAAAGACTATGAGGAATTTTGTTACAACCGTCCTAATCCCGTGAACAATTGTAACAATAGAGGGGGATAATTGTACCACATTTGCCAGAGGTACATAACACAACTACATAAGTCATACTCTTTCTTGCAGCTGCACGAATGAATAACTGGTCCTTTATAATCTCTTTGAATGTCTGTTTGTATAAAGGCACTTTTTTTATATAATTTTTCTCTTATATGTTTTGCGTTTTCTTGTTAACAGCATTCTATGAAGAAAAATACAAATAACATTGTACAATATAATATTAAAATTAAATTAAATAAGTTCGAGGACAATTGTAACGTTACAACTGACCCCAAGCATCGATGTTACTATTATCCCCTGATGGTATTTTATGATTTATAGTAATTTTTTTAAATAAAAACCTAGATAAAAATCAACTCAAATGTGCAAACCATCAACGCAGATAATCGTTAAAACATTAAGATAATACATTATATCTTCGTTATAAAGAAAAAAAAAATTTTTAGATTTTATGCACGCAATAAAACTTACTTATAGCGTTTTCTCTTGGGATACACTGGGTGCAACCTCGCACCAGTTGCATGTAAGCGCTACATTAAGCTACACTAGAGTGGTGCACACCATGATGTACATTATTGCGCTAAAACCCTGTTCCCGCTTGACTTCCATTTTCAAATTTTAAATGTCACACTGGCTCTATACCGTCCCTTTGAGACGGTGTAACAAAATCCCACTTCGTGCATAAAATTTGCACCACACCGTAGCCATGGATACACTGTCTGAGTTGCACTAGTGGGACGATAGTGCAACCAAGAGAAAACGCTATTAATGTATGGAAAAATTAATTTTTGCTCCTGCACTCGTGCATGTTCCTCGAGAATCAGCATTTAACGAACGATTCAATCTATCTACAAAATTTTACCATACAGCCACATACCCATATTTATTATAGTTTAAGAAATATTAATGATATTACTATTGTCCCCTTGTTATTTTTGTCTTCGATCTCCCCTACCTGATTGGCATCATTAAATTGCGTCAGGATATTCGAAAGAAGTGCAATTTCTTCCTCGAGGCCCATAAGGATTTTAAATATCAATCTTTCCCGCGTTTTCTGATCTATGCTATTTTCTGCTCCGTCTATTTTTTCACTGCACAGTAAAAAAATTAATCAATTAATCGATGTTAAGAAGCCGATTTGTTTTCTTATATTATTTATGAATTAGATTATTAATTTATTTTTAAATTTGAAAACTTATTATTCAAACCATTCAAATTTTCGTGACTGTCGATATAAGCACTTTATGCCTGCACTTGCGTAGGATTAAATAATTGTCCCAGAGAACATTGAGACATCTTATAAGACATCATAAGGACGTCCTAAAATTCACGAGACATTTTTTGGAAGTACCCGAATGACATCTTTAAGATGTCTTATGCGTCGATTTACGACCTAAAGACATTATCCTTAAAACGTCTTATGGGCCTTCTACAATAAGCCATTAGTTATAAATTAGAAGTCAGAAGCTAAAAATTGACCAATCAGTCGTCAGTTTTTAACTTCTGACTTCTGATTTATAACTAGACATCGGATTTCTATGCAATTGCATATTTTTTTAGAGTGCGGATTGGAAAGTAAGACTAAAGTAGAAATATGTCTTATTAAAAAAGCATTTTAAAAATGCATATTTATTTGTGCATATTTTGCATATTTGTACATATTTTGCATATTTGCATATTTTTGCATATTTGTATATTTTGGGCATATTTGCATATTTCGCGCATATTTGCATATTTTTACATATTTTAAACAATTTTATGTATTTTATATTAATGTCAAGCTGTAGAACGACAATTTAACGATATCGTTAGAGTCGTTAAGATTTTTTGGAAAATTTACGGAATATGCCCCTCAAATACGTAAATAAAGTAAAATACATAAACATTTATCATTACCACTTTGGAACATGCGAACGTTCAGACGTTCTGAAATCAGTACATTGCTAGCTGTTATCTTGTGAAGTAGTCGCGAGAGAGTGAATATTACTTCGAAAAATATTAACTAAAATGTTCACTAACATTCTTTAGTTAGTCATTTGACTTAACAGCGAGGAGACAGTAATTGGTAGCCTCTCAACCAGACAGTAGGGAGACACTCATCCCCACTCTTACATGGATTTAGTTTCAATTTCATACAATATTTTGCTTGACATCGATGTGTTCCTCGGGAAAATTTGCTACTGAAGATGGTTTGAAGTAAACCAAAACGTTCAATGTGTCTATATTTATTGGTATTGTTTTTTAATATATTATGTGAATAATTTATGAGTTATGTTGATTGCGCAACGATTACCGCGCTATGTTATGCTCTCATTGTTCGTATATTATACTATTGTTGTTTTCGAAAAATATTATAAAGTTCATAAAATGGAAAAAATTAAAAAGAAGAGATGTGTTCTAATTAACAACTGGATAAGTTCAATGAAAAATATTTTGTTTTTGATGGAGCAAATGTTTGTTGCAACTTATGCAAAAAACATTTTGTATGTGTTGGTTTATAACAAATAGTTCACTCAAGTCCTTAAAGTTTTATATTGAATTTGTGTTAAATACGTGAAATATGTTAAAAAAATTTTTCAATTTTATATTACTAAATTTAAGTATTGTGCACAATTTAATTATATAAATAAATTTTGCTTTCAAGATTTCATGTGAACGGAAATCGCAATTGACACAACATTTAAACACTGCAGTATGCAAAAGCAATAAAGCTGAAAATCACAATTTGGATATTAATTTAAAAGATAATACAAATTTTGTTATGAATTGTGTGAAGCAATGGTGACTGTAAATGTGCCTTGGCATGCACTCGATAATAAAATGGAGTAATTTTTTGAAAAAATATACAAATCGAAAAATTCCTAATGAATCGACGCTTCGAAAAAATTATTTCAAAAAATGTTACAATAGAAAAATTCAAAAAATTCGTGATATTGGTAAAAATTATGTTTGAATTTCTGTAGATGAGACTACAGATAATTCTGGTCGTTACATAGCTAATTTAATTATTGGAAAAATGTGCGAATATGAACCAGGAATTCCATATTTACTTGCATGTAAACAATTGGAATAAACGAATCATGCAACTATTGCTCGATTTATCAATACAACACTGTTGACATTATAGCCAAATGGTAATGGAGAAAAAGTATTATTACTCGTCACAGATTCAGCTGCATATATGATAAAAGCTGATGATCATTTGAAAATATTTTATCCCAATATGCATTTAACTTGCTTGATTCATGGATTAAATAGAATCAGGGAACAAATATGTTTTTATTTTCAATCAGTTAACAAATGAATATCTTCAGTAAAAAAAAAGTATTTTTAAAAGCTTCACTTCGTATTGAAAGTTACCGAGAAAAAATGGATACAATATCATTACTTCCTGACCAACCATTACAGATGACAGATTAATGATTGCGTTACATAGTAACACTTTAGTCAACTTTAACGTCCAATGCTCGCTTTGCGGAGCAGTCTCGGACTTTTTTCTGCCAGATTCTTTCATGTTTTTCGCAAAAACGCGTCGAATGAACCTAATTTCATTGAAATCGGAGGTAGTTCTTCTGAAGAATTACCCTTATTTTGTCTCTGTGACAGATTTCCTAACCTTAATAATTATCAACTTTAACGCTTAATATCTCGGATCACAGGGCAGAGTGACGCTTTTTTTGCCAGATTCTTTCATCTCGTGCAAAAACGCATCAAATAAACCTAATTTTATTGATCTTTGAGGTGATTATGCTGAACTGTATAATTACCTGAAAATGTTTGAAAGATATCTAAAAGGCGTCTTTTGAAAAAGTCTTAAAGACGTCTAGTTCAAGACGTCTTTTGGATGTTCATGATCTTTCAGACATGCATGTTCTCTGGGATATTTTATTTTCTCGTATGGTAACAGAACGTTTTATTTATACTTCATAATAACGTTTAATTTTTTTATCTCGTATGCAATACATTTATTTTGATTTCCGATTTATTGTTGGTTTCAAGATGTTATTGATTATGAAAAAACGTTATTTTTCTAAAATCAAATATTTGGATGTCATTTTTTCTATCCTCGCTTTGCCAAGCGCAATCGCACCACCTGGTTTACTCCAGTCTACTTCTGTCAAGATTCCGCAGTAGCAGATTGCAGAAGCCTGCAATTGTTGTCTACTTACTTCGTGACATGACGCAATTGCTCTGTTCGATTAGCTAGACCTTCGAGCGATCTCTCAGCCTTCTTTGATAATTCCTTCCATTTGTCATCCAGCGTTCCTAGACGTACAAAGTAGCGTACGAGGCACATGTGAAGCTCCCGTGCCATCTTTAAATTCACAAGTGGAGTGTCGAGACTGTCGAGTGTCGAGATCAAGGCATAGACTTATAAGATAGACGAAACCATGGTGTAACAAGAAAGGTGAACCATTGCGCATAATGGCGAAGGTTTGAGATCTTGACCAATCAGGGCTTGAGCTTTTTTGCAGCGCGCGCTGTTTAAAAGTTTCAGAAATAAGATTGTCTAACGCAGTTTGGAAAAGAATATGTTTTATTTAATATAAATGTTGCAAAAGAAATTCTTGGAACATAAAAATTATAAAATATTTAAAGACATATATATCGCAAAAGAATTTACAAATAAGACGTCATGGTGAATTGTCGCCGAAATGGTAATGTCATGTTTCCACGACGTAATGGCCAAATGTTTACCCGGCAGAATGTACATTTATATTACAAACGTCTTAACATTGGTATAAATGTATATTCTCTCATTTTAATGAAAGATAATCAATAAAAGTATGATTTTGGAATAATTTTCAACAAGGTTTTGTCACTACATTGTAGCTGTTTGTGACATAAAAAATATGAAAAGAAAAAGAAATTATAAGCATTCGGAACATAAACTTACCATAGCTGACTTTTATATCCGTTTATTTTCTTTGGCAAGCTTTGAACCACTGTTTCCTTAGTTCAGGCTCTTTAGGAAAATAATACAAATATATATTGTAATTTTCTTTGTTATTACGACCGGTTCGGCTCTTACAATTTTTAATGTAACACGCTGGCATTTTGTCACTCTGATATTTTAATATGAACTCAATAACCGATAATCAATCGATGATAATGATAAATAACAGTTTCATGCATTCACTGTCATAGCGAAACTCTGTAAGCAGCCATATTGAAGATTTCGCATAAAAGCTCAAAATGTAATTAGGCCTGTTCTTTTTGGCTGAACTTTTACACCAGTTCATCTTTCTTCCTCTTCTTTCCTGCTGGAGAGAAAAGGAAGAAAAATGAACTAGTGCAAAAGTTTAGCCAAAAAGAACAGGCCTTATATGTACACTCGCGGACAAGAATGCCTTTACACATTCAAGATGGATGCGTTTCGGGACACTGTCGAGCCATATACAAATCGGGTGGCACCCAGTTGGACACGGCTCAATTGGACACGAGCCACTTACAGCGCTTGAGACTACAAAGCTCCTAAGCACCGGTCGCTGTGATTGGTGGTGCCCAATCGAGCTGTGATCAATCGGGATCATCCCGATGTTTGGGTAGAGTGTATGGCAGGGAGGATCCCGTTTTCCTACAATCCCGATTGCACACACCACTCATTCTATCTTTGTTTTACGTCTAATAAACAACAAAGATAGAATGATAGAATAATCTCCGCTGTGATGCAAAAAAAATCGTGGCCGCTATTGATCAGCCGCCATTTTGATTTGAGATGGTATTTGAGAGAATCAGGAGCTTTCAGATAAGAGTAGGCGAAGTATTATTTTTATTTATATATCATTCATGTCCATATAGATTTCCATACATCGATAGTACATCGATCGATACATCGATCGCAACGCGCGCGCGAACACTTCTGATTCGCTCAAATGCCACCTCAAATAAAAATGGCGGCTTATCAATAGCGGCCACGAATTTTCCTCAATGCCCATTCCAGTGTTATATAGTTCAATGATGCATACACGGAAGATCGATCTCGGGCTTCAAGAATCGATTTGTCGATTTAATCGGAGCTTAAGAATCGATTTTCTAACAAATTGAATATCGAAAGTAAAAGAATCGATTTTCTAAAAATTGATTTTAGATCGAACTAAAACGCCATTAATCCAACCCAGGTTGGTGCAAACCCGGTCGGGCCGAAAACGCTATTAGATTCTAAAGCTGAGGCTGCTAAGATTGCGTGCTACTTGATTCGAACGTGAATTGATTCGGCGAGTCGAAAAAAAGTGAATAATCTTGCGAGTTGCGAATATCGTGACGCAAAAAGGAAGATTTTTTATCGCGGACTCAAAATGAGACTCAGCTGAACGGCACTATTGTCCCTTTTCGCACGTCTGTGCATCGGATACGGGCTATCTATTCATCTGTCTGTCTCGCTCCGAATCGTCGAGTACAAATCGTAGACAATGCAAAGCGTGATAAATTCCGTGAAGGGCACTGCGTTGGGCGTTGCCGAATACTTGACGCCGGTGCTGAAGGTAAATTCTCATCTGCTTCCAATTGATATTACGTATGTTGGGAATTTCAAATAATGACGGATTTCAACCTTATCGAGTCATCTTTATGTTGATTCTACAATGAGTCGGTAGTTGGTAGTCCTAAGGCTAATTCTATAATGTGCTTTTTGTTTCCTGTTTCTTGCTTGTCTCTTGCCTTCTTGATCAAAAAGGCAAGAGATAAACAGCAAGAAACAGGAAACAAAAAGCACATTGTAGAATTAGCTTTAGTCTTATCGTGAATTGATGAAGTTGGCCAATAGCCAACTTGTACGACTAAGAGACTACCGATTTTCTTAAGACTGGCCAAATTTGACTTTATTCCTTCCTACTGGTCGAGCTAAATGACTCGTATAATTAACAACTTGTAGATGTGAAAAATCAGTCACCTATTTAGGTTAAGGCTGATTAAAACTTTACGATTTTTCGACTACCGATTTATTGTAGAATTAGTTTTAGGTCTTAAAAACTTGTAATAAGACAACTTCCTTACAAACTTAAATCAGTCAAGATAAGCCATTTCCATTGTTCATACTTAGTAAACACATGGTAACAGTATGCTAACATTTTTAAGGAAGTATTACAGCAGATTGTGTGTGATATCAATAATACATTTGCATTAAGTTCACGTTCTATCGATTTATGCTTGTTTCCATTCATATAGATTAATTTTAATCTCGGTTCAATTTATTTTTCATCTTTTTTAATCTTTAGAACTAGAAAAAGATGAAGAATTAGGCCGGAATCAGACTGCATTTAAAGATTAAGATTGGAGATTGAAGAATTGAAATTTGATCAATGAGGACAAAGGAATTTTAGTTTCTATTGTTTTGATTGATCAAATTTCGATTTTTCAATTTCAATCTTCAATGCGTAATCTGATTCCAACCTAAGTTGAACCGAGATTAAAGTTAATCCATATCGGTCAAAATGAATATTAATCTGACAACAGAAACAATTTGTCATATATATATTTAAAACAAATTTGTCATATGTATATATATTTACATGATAATATTTTATTCAATTTCTGCAGTAAATCCTGTCATTCTGTTAGCAGATTTTTTACTGAAATTTTACCAAAATTTGTAGTAGATATTTTACAGATTTAGAATTGACGCTGTTAATTATGCGATCAATTAAATAAATAGTTTAATATTAAATATTTAACAGTTATATAACCACTCAAATTTGGAATCGAAATATTTAAATACAGTTGTGTTGTCGGATGTGATTGTAGTAAGTTATGATTAGACTTACTAATAAATATTATATTATTTATTTTAATTATGCACTGTTAATGCAGCGTCGATTCTCATAGCTCTTGATTTAACTATATACTTTATTTTAATTTTTGAGAATCCATATTCTGGAAGGAGGAATCATATTCTGTATATAGGCTTGATTACAAAAACCAAGCAGAATCTGCCATATTATCATTTAAATAATGTGTCTTATTTAAACAATTATTATATATTCTGTAAGCAGATTTTTACTAGCATTTTGCCAAAATTTGTAGCAGATGTTTTGCAAAATTTGTCGTCGATTAATTTGACTGTCTAGATAGTTTTTATTGATTTCTTTTACTTAACTCTTTTTTTATTGTCATTATATAGGACAACTGTATTTAAGTGGAATTGACTGTTAAACAATTCCACTAATCAGAACATAATTTTAGTGTTTATTAATATTCGTATAATAGTTGCTTTTGAAATATATATATATATATTCGATTACACAAAGCAATTTTAATTTATTCTATTATAGACTATTTAAAATTCCTTAAAAACTCCCGATATTCTAAATTTTTATTATATCTCCAATTCCAAATTTTTATTATATCTTTAACGTAATAATAATTTATAGTAAATTAAACTTATGTTTAAACTAAAATAAAACTTATTTTTATTATGTCACAACATAATTTTAACTTATTGATAAGAATCTTAATTCTTTATGCTCCTTAATTGCATATTTAATCTTAATTTTTTTTAGACAAATATTTTTTAACAGGTTTATATTAGATAAAATTTGTTTTATGCTGTAAAAAGTAAAACGGCTTTCCATTGATTTTTTTACATATGTTTTTTCATTGCAATTTATTGAATATTGTATATTTATATGAATCGCATAATTCTTTTAAGGAGAGCAAATTCCGAGAAACTGGTGTCTTGACACCAGAGGAGTTTGTAGCAGCCGGCGACCATTTGGTGCATCATTGTCCCACATGGCAATGGGCTACCGGTGATGAGGATAGGGCCAAGTCTTACTTACCAAAGGGTAAACAGTTCCTTCTTACTCGTAACGTTCCCTGCACACGTCGATGTAAACAGGTAATATTGTAGCTAAAGATAGCATGCAATTTTCTTTTCTCTCTCCAGTTTGAACATAATACCATTTGTCTTCTATTTATAGATGGAATACAGCAATGAGCAAGAATGTATTATCGAAGCTGACGATCCTGAAGGTGGTTGGGTGGACACCCATCATTACGCTACTAGTATCGCTGGCCTAGACGAAAGAGTGACAGAAATGGCATTGGAAGAGACACTGGGAGAACCATCTCAATTTCAAGATAACGCAGACGAGGACGAGGATGATGAGGATGCTGCTGATATGGATGCTTTTGAAATTAGTGGCATGCTAGATGAGCAGGATAAGGTATTGAGCGTAAATCTGCCAAAAAAGGAGATTTTCTGAATTAATAATTATAGAAAACAATATTTTCTTATAGCATGCGGTGACGGAAAGCACTAAAAAGAATAGCCACGAAAAACGGGACTTGTTTACGGAGGGAGAGATTATTCACACTCGCACTTATGATTTGTACATTACATACGATAAATATTATCAAACACCCAGATTATGGTTGTTTGGCTACAACGAGGTAAAACGTGTATTATTTTTTTCTAATTTCTTAAATTGTTGAATTATCGCATCCCTTTCTAGATCTACTGTATTATTTATTTTACACATTAGAATCGGAAGCCGCTTAACGTAGAAGAGATGTACGAAGATGTTAGCCAAGATCATGCTAAGAAGACAGTTACGATGGAGACTCATCCTCATATACCTGGTCCTCCTATGGCTTCTGTTCACCCCTGCAGGTAAAAAGAAGATAAAAAGAGACATAAATTTTGATAGATTGATTAAAAATAAATTATTTATACACAGGCACGCTGAAGTAATGAAGAAAATTATGGAGACAGTGATGGAAGGCGGTGGAGAATTAGGAGTGCACATGTACCTCATAATATTTCTGAAATTTGTTCAATCCGTCATACCAACGATCGAATATGACTACACGCAAAATTTTATGCTAAATGCAGCCAGTTAAATGCATCACTAGTATTAAGTTATCAGCATTATATTGTGATTATTATAAATTGCTTTCCAATTGTATTTAGTGGCTACATGAGATAATTGTGTATCCATGTTTACGCTTTTCATCATAAATGCAAAGATAGAAGGTCATAAGGATATTCGAGATTATAAGGATTCTAAAGAATTTCGAATTGACTTTCGAGGATTCAGGAAAATATTGAATATAAATATTTACACCAGTGAATTGAAAAGATATGAAATTGCACGTATTTCGAGCGTTCAGCATTTAAGGATCCATTTGTACATTTGTCCTAATTAATTTTAATCAAATACACCTCAAGATACTTTTTCTACATTACAAGGTACTGAGTTGAATAGATATTTGATTTATTTTAACAAACGTTAGACAAACAAGGAATAAAGGCTATGCAGAAAGTAGCAAAAGAAATCGAGAGAGAGAGAGAGAGAGAGAGAGAGCAAGTGAGAAAGAGGAGGGAGGGAGGGAGAGAGAAAAAAGGTCGTTTCAATAAAGGTATTTTCCTATTTCTTATATGTTTATAATTAAGTTAATTATTTGTTAATTTATCATTTACAAAAAAACTTAAATATTTATCAAAATGGATTGTAATTATTATGAAAATAAATTGGAATATTTCGAATATTATCTGTATGTGATAACCAACTTATTTACCGTAGTTATAGAAAGGTGATTAAAATTTAGCTTTTTCCGGTTCTTAGTCTCGACCGTTTCCTCTGTGATTTACTTACTTACATACCAAGAAGATACATAATTATTTACATTTCACTGATAATCCATGACATTTCCATAAATTTACTAGTGCATAAATTAACTTGAGTGCGATTAAATGAGCAGCTGACAGAATTATGGGATACCTGTGATGCGATGTCACATTTGTTGTTTTATGAGCTTTCAGACAGTTTTTTTTTTGCCGTGTATCGCCGGATGGCGGATAAGAGAATGCGTTTACCTGTCTTTTCTGGTTATATGGCACATATGTTCCTTAAACCAAAAAACAACATAAAAACGAATAAATAAGCCTTCCTATACACTCCTAAAAAAGTTAAATCTGGAGACGCTGGTAGTATCTCGGCGCTAAGCTATGCGCAGCGACACTACCGTGGCTACTTTACGCGAACCGTACAGATCTAACCGCTGCCCATCTACCTCTCCTAATCCACGTAAAAATACTATTCTTGTTTATAATATTTCTATTCCTGAGCTTATAATCGAGTCTAATCTTTTCATTGTCATATTTGTGACATTGCTATATAATGTGATCGACATCTTCAACTTCATATCCAGTCACATCTGGAGCTATCCAAAGACACAGACTGCGCGATTGGCGATCCGTGTGTCAAAATGGTCGATAGGGATGAGAGAGAAGGATCATGGCAGCGGCCATTTCTATCTCTTTCCATTCAATAGTGTAATGGGAGAGAAAATGAGAGGGAGATTGGCCGTCTTCCACGGTCCCTCTCTTCATTATTGTCGACATTTGATATATTACTTAGATATACGGATCGCGCAGTCCATTCTCTATGTTTTTGGAGCTATCATAATATAATCCTTTCTAGCTAGTGACTCATTAAGATTATAATAATTCGACCCAAGTCTATTAACAACAGTCACCAACGCTTCTTCTTCTTCTTCTATATTTAAGTAGTCCAGGTTCCGGTGTAGCCGGATTAACGTGGCCAGTCGCAGCCCTTTAACACTCCCATAGTTCCGATAGCTACGTAATGTCACCGACATCACCGTGGCGCTGGGAACATCCAGCGTGCTGAATCAGCTGAATATACAGGGTGTTTGAAAATTACCGGGTAATCGATCACGAGCAGGTAGAACGGACCGAATTGAATTGAAAATTCTTATATCATTTTGTAGGTTGCGCAATAGTTAATCAGATATTAACGTTTAAAAATAGTCGAATAAGCGCGTCCGGCCGGCCTACTGCTGCCGAATATACAACCTACCGTCCCCACCGATCGCACGGCGAGCGGTCCGCTGGGAGTGGGAACTGCCACTAAACGTCTTCAAACAACTCGAACGACACGCCTAGCAAGCCATCTCTACTCCCTGCTTTGGCTGAGGCCAGAGGCATGACGGGTTCATTGGCATCATCAGAAATGGCGGGAGAACACATAATGGCATCACCGGATTGAGTGGGCGTCTCCACAGCCTTGATTTTAGTTTTATGTGAGTCATTTTGCTGCATGCTTCTCTTCCTAAAAACTAGAGCGAACTCTTGATCCGTATCCATGGGGAGAGGTGTGCTGCTACTTTCACTTATAGACTACAAGACTGCATTAGCTACGCATTCAAACTAAGTTTTCGCTATTAAATTGAGAAGTGTAGAGTCAACTATGTCAGAATCTAAGTTTTCCGATAAAACATGTCCATTCGCAGAGTTGGAAGGCACTGGGGAATTGGAAGAGGAAGAGAGGACAAAAGAGAGCGGCCGGCCGACGCGGCCGTCGATCGAGCCGACCGAGGCACCCCCCCCCCCCCCCCCC